TGTAAAAAAATGGCAACAAAAATGTTACACATTTTACCATAGAAAATTCGTGACGTAGTCAATTTAAGTTATGTGCACGACATCACGTAATATACCAGCTGCTTCCGTTCCTCTCTTCCTGCTCAGTCTGCCTCGGCTCAGATGATGTCGTTCCGGGAGAAGGAGGAGCCGAGAGAGGAGGCAACTCCGACGAGCTACGGATTGAAGACGGACCAGTACTGCAAGCAGATCGCAGCCATGAAGGTACCGCCCACACGCACGCGTCAGGGTTCGTAGCGGGTCTTCCAAAGTCTTATAAGTACTTATTTTGCCAAAAATAAAATAAGGGCCCTTATTAGTACTTATTTTTGGTGAAATCTTAGAAAAGTACTTAATAGTCCTTATTTTTTTGCCAAAGTACCATTTTTATAAGCTGGAATAATTAAATCTGCTGTGCAATTGTGTATATAAATATTATTAGTGTACTATAATAGTAGGTGATCTATCAGAAATCGTGTAAAAAAGTCTTATTTTGGCCTCTAGAAAGGGTCTTATAAGTCCTTATTTCAACATGTGTCATACTACTATGAACCCTGACGCGTGTACGGTCCACATCATACTTAACGTGTGTGGTTAGCACTGACGGTACTTGTAGTAACTAGTCGTAGTAAATTAGTAGTAGGATTTGCATAATATTCCACATGTAAGTCCTATATTATGCACTCTTGTTCTCTCTTGAAGATGGTGGGTGTGATCAGTACTATACTATCATGAGGCATAGCATGTTTTTTATGTCTTCTCTCCCTGTCTCTCTCGCTCCTCTCTCTCTCTCTCATCTCTCCCCTCTCTTACATACCTTCTCTCCCCCTCTCTCTCTATCTCGCTTCCTCCCCTCCCTCTCTCGCCTCTCTCGTTTCTCTCATCTCTCTCTCCCTTTCTCTCTCAGTCTCTCTCTCTCTCTCTTTCTCTCTCTCTCTCTCTCTCATCTTTCTTCTCTCTTGCATACCTTCTCTCTCTCTCTCTCTCTCTCTCTCTCTTTCTTTCTCTCTCTCATCTCTCTCATTTCTTACATACCTTCTCTCTCTCTCTCTCTCTCTTTCTCTCCTGTCTCCCTCCTCTCTCTCTCCTCTCCTCTCTCTGTCTCCTCTCTGACGTACCTTCTCTCCTCTCTCTCTCTCTCTCTCTCTTTCTCTCTCTCATCACTCTCATTTCTTACATACCTTCTCTCTCTCTCTCTCTCTCTCTCTCTCCTGTCTCCCTCCTCTCTCTCTCCTCTCCTCTCTCAGACCCTCTCTGACGTACCTTCTCTCTTCTCTCTCTCTCTCTAGTCGCGGGCGGGCATGGTGCCGATGTCGTGCGAGTGGACCGACCAGGAGACGCTGATGCTGCTCTTACATAGCCTCTCTCTCCTGTCTCCCTCCTCTCTCTCATCTCTCTTTTCTCTGTCTCCTCTCTCTCATCTCTCTTCTCCTCTCTGACGTACATTCTCTCCTCTCTCTCTCTAGTCGCGGGCAGGCATGGTGCCGATGTCGCGCGAGTGGACCGACCAGGAGACGCTGATGCTGCTCTTACATAGCCTCTCTCTCCTGTCTCCCTCCTCTCTCTCTCTCTCTCTCCTCTCTCTGTCTTCTCTCTGACGTACATTCTCTCCTCTCTCTCTCTAGTTGCGGGCGGGCATGGTGCCGATGTCGCGCGAGTGGACCGACCAGGAGACGCTGATGCTGCTCTTACATAGCCTCTCTCTCCTGTCTTCCTCTTCTCTCTCTCTCTCCTCTCTCTGTCTCCTCTCTGACGTACATTCTCTCCTCTCTCTCTCTCTAGTCGCGGGCAGGCATGGTGCCAATGTCGCGCGAGTGGACCGACCAGGAGACGTTGAAGCTGCTCTTACATAGCCTCTCTCTCCTGTCTCCCTCCTCTCTCATCTCTCTTCTCTCTCTCTCTCTAGTCGCGGGCAGGCATGGTGCCGATGTCGCGCGAGTGGACCGACCAGGAGACGTTGATGCTGCTCTTACATAGCCTCTCTCTCCTGTCTCCCTCCTCTCTCTCTCATCTCTCCTCTCTCTGTCTCCTCTCTGACGTACCTTCTCTCCTCTCTCTCTCTCTAGTCGCGGGCGGGCATGGTGCCGATGTCGCGCGAGTGGACCGACCAGGAGACGTTGATGCTGCTCTTACATAGCCTCTCTCTCC